TAAGCAGGAACTTTATTTTGCCCTTACATGATAACTAATCTAAGGCATATACACTACTGTTCAAATGTTTGGGGTAAGTATAACTCTTATTCAGCAAGGATGGATTGACCAAAGGTGACAGTAAAGACATATATACTGTTACAAAAGATTTATATTTAAAATAAATGCTGTTCTTTTGAACTTGCTATTCACCAAAGAATCGTGAAACAGTTTTCAACATTGATAATAGTAAGAAATGTTTCTTAAGCACCAAATCAGCATATTAGAATGAATTCTGAAGGATCATGTGACACTGAAGACTGAAGTAATTCAGCTTTGTCATCACATGAATACATTTCATTAGAAAATATATTAAAATAGACTGTTTTACTGTATTTTTTATTGAATAAATGAAATTTTTTTTTTTACTTTTGATTGGTAAAAGAGTTCTTTCCAAAACCACCCCCAAACTTTTGAATAGTAGTGTACCTGTTTGTGTTTGTGTTTAGGCTTTAATATGAGAAAGGTAGGCCATGCCTCAGTCCAGTGCTTGTCCTCCAAACACAGGAAATGTGCATCACCTAGAACTGGATCCTTCTCTGTACGTCCTCCAAACACAAATAGAAAGGTCTTATCTGGAACGATACATTAATAAGTTGTTGGGATTTTGCTCCTTACAATGAGAAAAATGCAAAAAAAAAATGCAACATTTAAAAAAAAAAACTAATTGCCATAACATAGCACGTTTAACATTAGAACTTTTGTATTATTAAACTGCACTAAATTAAATTCACATCATAATCAGTGACTGGATGGTGGATTTTCATATTCCTCTTGATAATTACAGCATGTAATTCCGACACCTTTTGACCAAATCATTTTCAATGAATATAATTTCACATAAATTGAGAGAGAGAGAGAGAGAGAGAGAGAGAGAGACTAAAATCTCTAACCTTTATAACATATCAATGTTGATGTGTGTCGCCATCGTGGCTTTGGACCAGTTCCGGTACAAACCATGTTCTTAAATGACAGCTGCACAGCACTTTGGGATTGCTCATTGCCAGGGTCAAAGGTCACCCACATAACACTGCCTGTTGGATTGAGTGGAGAAGTTCTGCCTCCAAAGAGGACGGCTCCACCTCCAGGGATAGAAGTCAATGTCTGATAAAGACTAACCGCTAAGGAGAAGAAATATGAGACAAAGATATGTACACCAAATTGTTATAAATTAAACAAAACCTTAGAGATTACATAGTTTTCAAATCCTACAGATTTCCAAATCACCCAAAATCTATTAATAACTCCAACATGCAAATACTATAAAAATATTCAGCGCAATCCGCATACATACAGTGCACTCATATAAAGCGATAAATAGTATCTTAACTGTTTGTTTATATCGGCACCATATGAAAATATGCAAAAACTGCTAAATAAACAATGGACAATTAGATATTACAGTATTATAAACATTAACATCATGAATTTCTGTAAAGCTGCTTTGAAACAATGTGTATTACCAAAAGCGCTATACAAATAAAATTGACTTGACTTGTCAAAGTGTGCTTACTTACTAACAGACAGGTCAAACAGTTTATTTAGAAAAATTCCAATAAGGAAACCATTATCAAAAGCAAAAATAGAGCACTGATCAAATTACCTCTATCTCCATGAGCCTCCACACAGGCACATTTCCAGCCATCCTTCGCTTTGATCAGGATTCTCGCTGCTGTGTCTCTTCCACTTCTCCCACAGCCTCCGGTGAGTAAGATGATTCCAGGTGACAGAACAGCAGAAGCCATACCAGCAGCCTCCATGCTCGGACACCCACACATGGGCTGAATGACCAGGGGAGGATGCTTGGCCCACTGAGGAGTCATGTGAGGGATGGAGGATGCTAGGAGTGAAAAGAGCACATGTACCTCTATACCATACTACCTCACCCAGTCAAACACATAATACAAATATCTTACCAATACTTACCCTTTGGTAGTGTGAGAAGGGCTTGACTGGTCACAGAGCCTCTGGAGGCTGTAAGGATGAAGTAATGAGAACATTTCTGGTGCCATTCCTGTGATCATAAAGATAAACACAGGTCTGGGATCAGGCATTAGGTCAGACTCAGTGGTGATTCTGGGATCATTCAAAGGTCTTTGCTGGGAATGGGGCTGTTTCCTCACCTCAAACTCATCAAAAGGCTCCAGTCCCTTGACTCTCTGCCTCTCATCTTCAGGAAGAAAGTCAAAGTAGAACTGGTTCATATCCAGACAGACACATTTTTCCCAGCCCTGTGGCAGACAAAGATCAGTTACAGTCTAATTGACAATTAAGCTAATTAAAATTATTTCATGTTCACAAAATGTAGTTAAAATATATATATAGGTATTATGTACAGTCAGCCAGTCATTATCGTAAAATACACCTGACACTGTGAACCGGTCAGGTCTTATATGAATCTGAAGATGTTTATTTTGAATAATAAACAGTTACGTTATCCCACTTATTACATGGCTACAAACTATTAAAAACTAAACAAATGAGCATGAAACATTCATTTGAGGCATACCTTCTGTATAAATTCTGAAGAGTGACAGTGTCTGGATACTGTTTGAGAGCATGTATGGTAGAATTGAGCCTCAGGAAGTGGTTCTGCATGACCCTGCCAAATGGGTAATCTGGGTGGATCTGTTCATACGTCACAAACATAGATTGTGGGAGCAGCTTGGCAGCCCAGCCAATCACAGCATCTGACCTGGAGAAAATCACCAAAACACATGTTAAAAAAATTGAGCTAGCCTGTTTGCTCAAAAGTTAATATGCCCTCTTTTTCATTAAACGGGTATAGTAGAAAGTAAAAGGAAACTACTGGGAAGACAGAATGGCAATGGGAACAGGATTTGTTTCAGGCAAGGCAACACACAAACCTGCACCTATGGAATGAGCACCAAGACTCAGTGGTTTTCAGGAGCACATATATTAATTATTGCACCATCCCACTGCAGTCCAGCTCTGCTCAGAGTCGCCTCCACCTCCTGCTCCTTCCTGACATCCACACCAATGAGATTATAATGACCACTTCTGATGAACACAGCATCTATACATGGGCAAGAAACATACCGCAAATGTTCTAACATCACATTTTAGGGACGAAAGACAGGGTTGGACAAAGATTTGCTGGCAAGATATGCATATATCTGTATAAATAATCAAGTTTATATACAGTACTATACAATTTAAGTGGTTACGTTTTGTAATATAATCCATTAATATATTAATATGTGATACAGTGAACATCCTACTAGTCTGCTGATTTGAGACAGTCTCCCAATCTGGCAACATGTCCTTCAGGCAAGTATTGCTATTGATCAAGGTAGCCTTGCGCCGGGCAACTTCTGGAAAGTCAATCTCAAAAACTGTGACACCTCCAAGGGCTCCTTCAGCATGTAGCCGGAAATACAGGGAGTCAAACCCAGCTCCTAGTGACAGAATCTGAGATTAAGAGAGGGATATGATCAAGGCATTCAATTTTTACAGTAAAAACACTCATAAACAAAAGGTGAACATTTCATCCCACCTGTGTCCTCGAGCAGGATTTTGAGGCATGGAAAAAACAGTGATCAACTGTTTTCCAGCACACAAAATAACCTCAGAGACAGAAAATATACAAGCATTAGAAATATCGAAATACCATATCTGTTTAATGCAAGATCTGTCTCCTAAACATTTATCTATTAATCAGTGGAGCTCTTCTTGACACCTTGCACACAAAATGCCTAAGGAAATAAATCGTGGAAGTAGCCCTGTGCCGCTGCTGACACCTTACTGACCACACTGCTGTCATTAGTGCCTTGCACGTGAGAGAAAATGTTAAGGAAAATACGGGGGAAAAAAGTTAATTCCACAGGAGAAAGTAAGTAATACAGGTTTGGAACAACATGATGGGGAGTAAATGATGACAGAATATTTATTTTTGGGTTGACTATCCCTTAAAGATCAGCAAATACCACGTCAAATACAACATAGAGTACAGAAAGGTGTTACAAAAAACTTTTTTTTAAATTAATTTGTTCTTAAACTACTAACTTGGACAAAGCTCATATGTATAATAATAATAGTAATAACAACAATATTATTATTATTATGTAATATAATGTATTATAAATTAATATATTAATTTAATATAAATATTAAATATATATATATATATATATATATATATATATATATA